TAGCTCCAGGCAAATAGTTCTTGAGATCCTAACTCAAAAAAACCCATTAAAAGGAGTGGCTCAAGTGGAAAGGGTGTATACCTAGCAAGCATGAGGCCCAGTTCAAACCCCAGTGCTGCAGGGTGGGGAGAGAAGAGATGATAGCCTATAATCAGGATTCAGATATGAGAGGCAGAAGAGGAATTTGAATACAAAGATCTTAAAACAGCTAATAGAAAAGCATTATAAAAAACATGAACATAATGAATAAAACCAGGAAAAATCTCAATTGAGAGGAGAAACCATACACAGAAAAAAGGAACCAGAGAGAAATATTATTTTTGGGTGGTGCTGGACTTCATGTCTGCTAGGCAGGTGCTCTACCACTTGAGCTATACCTTGAGCTCTCCACTACAGAAATTTTAGAACTGAAAAAAAAGGTATCTAATATAAAAAATTAACTGGACAAGCATAAAAGCAAATTAGATAAAGGAGAAGTTAAAAAAAAAAACAACTTGAAGACAGGGCAACACAACAAAAGACTGGAAGAAAAATAGTCAAGAGCTTTAGTAACCTGTGAATTAAGTAGTTGCTCATAAGTGGATTGGATTGTCTGTGGAAGTATTAGTTGGTTTTATGTGGCTGTGACCAAATACCTGAAGAAAACAACTTATGAGACAAGTATTTACTTTAGCTCATGGTTTCAGAAGTTTCAGTCCATCACGAATGGAAGAGCATGGCAAAGCAGGCAGTTAACAGCATAGCAGCCCACACAGAGAAAAAGAATGCCTGCATTATCTGGATCTCTCCTTTCTCGCTTTCTATTCCATGCGGGGTCCCCAGTCTATGCAGTGATGCCACAACATTCAGCATGGGTCCCCACCCCTTAGTTATACTCTCTGGACATGCCTTCACAGACTCATTGAGAGGTATGCTTTACTAATCCCCTAGGTGCTTTTCAATCCGACCAAGATGGCAATTAAGATTAACCATGACAGCATAAAACAGGAAATCCATCTCAGAACCTGTTCTACACATTTATCCTCTAATCCAGCAGTTCCACTTCTAAATACTCATTCAAGTTTTCACACATGTCACAAAAAGACAGGAACAAGAATGTTGATAGCAGCTTTATTCTTAACAGCTAAAAATCAGAAACAACCCTTTCCACAATAATAATATCCATACAAAGAAATACTCACCTGAAACAAAAAGGAAAGAAACTACTATCACATCTAACATGGATGAACCTCAAAAACATTATATTGATCAAATGAAGCCAATACATATTACATTACTCCACTTACATGGAATTCTAGTGAAAGAAATCAGAACAGCTGTTGCAGATATGGAAAGGAAAAGACAACAATAAGTGTATAGGAAGAGACACAAGGAATCCTTCTGGGGTGATGGAAATTATGAATTACATGAATATATTAATTGTCAAAATGTTTGGAACTGAACACAACATCTATGTATTTCATTATATGTTAATTATGCCTCTGTCTCTTATTTTAAAAAAGGCAAACAATAACTTAAAATTGAAACGTTATCTTCTTACTTTCTGCTCACTCTCTAGAACAGTACTGCCCAAAGTTTGGTCTGTGGACCACATGCATCACAATAACCTGGGCCCTGTTCCTAACTTAGGGAACCAGAATTTTAAGGTGGAGGGAGGAGGCTAGAACTTTATTATTTTATTTTTTTCATTTTTCTTTTATTATTCATATGTGCATACAAGGCTTGGTTCATTTCTCCCCCCTGCCCCCACCCCCTCCCTTATCACCCACTCCACCCCCTCCCGCTCCCCCGCCCCAATACCCAGCAGAAACTATTTTGCCCTTATCTCTAATTTTGTTGTAGAGAGAGTATAAGCAATAATAGGAAGGAACAAGGGGTTTTGCTGGTTGAGATAAGGATAGCTATACAGGGCATTGACTCACATTGATTTCCTGTGCGTGGGTGTTACCTTCTAGGTTAATTCTTTTTGATCTAACCTTTTCTCTAGTTCCTGGTCCCCTTTTTCTATTGGCCTCAGTTGCTTTAAGGTATCTGCTTTAGTTTCTCTGCGTTAAGGGCAACAAATGCTAGCTAGTTTTTTAGGTGTCTTACCTATCCTCACCCCTCCCTTGTGTGCTCTCGCTTTTATCATGTGCTCATAGTCCAATCCCCTTGTTGTGTTTGCCCTTGATCTAATGTCCACATATGAGGGAGAACATACGATTTTTGGTTTTTGGCCAGGCTAACCTCACTCAGAATGATGTTCTCCAATTCCATCCATTTACCAGCGAATGATAACATTTCGTTCTTCTTCATGGCTGCATAAAATTCCATTGTGTATAGATACCACATTTTCTTAATCCATTCGTCAGTGCTGGGGCATCTTGGCTGTTTCCATAACTTGGCTATTGTGAATAGTGCCGCAATAAACATGGATGTGCAGGTGCCTCTGGAGTAACAGTCTTTTGGGTATATCCCCAAGAGTGGTATTGCTGGATCAAATGGTAGATCGATGTCCAGCTTTTTAAGTAGCCTCCAAATTTTTTTCCAGAGTGGTTGTACTAGTCTACATTCCCACCAACAGTGTAAGAGGGTTCCTTTTTCCCCGCATCCTCGCCAACACCTGTTGTTGGTGGTGTTGCTGATGATGGCTATTCTAACAGGGGTGAGGTGGAATCTTAGTGTGGTTTTAATTTGCATTTCCTTTATTGCTAGAGATGGTGAGCATTTTTTCATGTGTTTTCTGGCCATTTGAATTTCTTCTTTTGAGAAAGTTCTGTTTAGTTCACTGCCCATTTCTTTATTGGTTCATTAGTTTTGGGAGAATTTAGTTTTTTAAGTTCCCTGTATATTCTGGTTATCAGTCCTTTGTCTGATGTATAGTTGGCAAATATTTTCTCCCACTCTGTGGGTGTTCTCTTCAGTTTAGAGACCATTTCTTTTGATGAACAGAAGCTTTTTAGTTTTATGAGGTCCCATTTATCTATGCTATCTCTTAGTTGCTGTGCTGCTGGGGTTTCATTGAGAAAGTTCTTACCTATACCTACTAACTCCAGAGTATTTCCTACTCTTTCTTGTATCAACTTAAGAGTTTGGGGTCTGATATTAAGATCCTTGATCCATTTTGAGTTAATCTTGGTATAGGGTGATATACATGGATCTAGTTTCAGTTTTTTGCAGACTGCTAACCAGTTTTCCCAGCAGTTTTTGTTGAAGAGGCTGCTATTTCTCCATCGTATATTTTTAGCTCCTTTGTCAAAGATAAGTTGCTCATAGTTGTGTGGCTTCATATCTGGATCCTCTATTCTGTTCCACTGGTCTTCATGTCTGTTTTTGTGCCAGTACCATGCTGTTTTTATTGTTATTGCTTTGTAATATAGTTTGAAGTCAGGTATTGTGAAAACTTTATTATTTTAAATAAGAGGCTCATATAATTCCTAAGTCCAAGAAAGTTTGAGAATCACTTTTACAGAATTACATAATAAGAAAACAAAAAGATTGTATATAAATTAATTAATCACTGCTATATTCATTATAAACTATGTAACAGTTGTCATTTAAGCACTCAATTGGTATTTAAGTTACATTACCGCCTCCATTTGTGTTTAATTTTCTATTTATGTGCTTCAAGGAGTTCCAATTCCAAATTTTAGTCTTTAATCATGTAATACTCTAATTTCTTACTAATCCCAAATCAAAATCCAAAATCATACTTTGGATCTTTAGTGTCCCTCAAAGGCCTGTATATTAAAGGCTTGGTCCCCAATGTGGCGCAGTAGGGAGGTGGTGGAACCTTTAAGATATGGAGCCTTGAGGGAAGTCCTTAGGTCACTAAGAAATATGCCCTCAAGGGCAATTATGGGACCCTGCTCTGTCTGTTTCTTGCTTTCTGGTCATGAAATGAGCAATTTTGCTCTGCCACATGCTCCCACCACAATGTCCTGCCTCACTACGGACCTAAAGCAATTGGGTCAGTCAGTCACGGACTAGAACCTCTAAAACTGTGAGCCAAAAGAAACCGTCTCTCCCTACAAATAAATTCAGGTATTTTGTTACAGTGAAAGGGAAAAGATGGCTAACAGTCTTCACTCATCTAACTACCCTAATTTCTTATTAATCCCAACTCAAACTATGCACTTTAGATATGGAATCCTGTTTGCCCGTTCCTTTGCTTTTTTCCTGAATGTTCTACCTTCTTGATTCTGTTTTCCCTACCTCTTAAGAGTACTATTTTTATTTTCTCTGCATAGTCTTGTCTTTCTACCTTTAAAGCTGAACCAAAAACTCATCTTTTCCACTAAGTGCTCAATAACCTAACTTAGATTCTTTCCACACTCCCCTCAGCACTAGAAGATCTTGCTCTTAATAGATATATTTATTTACTGAAATTGGACATCCCATCTTAATGACTCACCAACTCCATTCCCTAGCTTAGGGTGAACCTTTGAGGGAGAAGTGCAAAGTTACAGCTCTCTTCAGGGTACTTCCTCTTGTGCTATTTTTACTTTTTCCTCTTTGAGTTGCCAGGACCTTAAGCTCTAAAGGGCTAGAGGGGTAGGAAAGAAAGAGACAGACAAACAAACAAACAAAAAATAAAAACTGGTGACTTAGTGACGCTTTGGAGTAGATTTGAAAAAAGCCTTCAAGCTTCAGTCTCAGTTTGGACTACTTCACCAGCCCAAGAAAGCAAAAAAGGATTCAAAAACGAACTCTAGGAGAGGAATAAGGAAGTACAACCTGTAACAATCCCCTGTATAAACTGGTTAGCTAGACACTAATACACTGTTTCAAGGACTCTAAAATATTTTGGGTTTTTATTAGCATTTCTACATTTTTTAAATAAAGCTAAGTGGCAGCTTTCCTTGGCAGTAGTAATAAGTAAATATTTTAAAGTGTTTACTATTGAATTAAGTGTCAGTAGTATCAGTTATTTTCTTGTTCTAAATGTATTATCATTTAGAAATGTCATGAGTCAAATCTCATGATTTTCAACTATAAGCTATATGCCTTCCAAATCTTACCTATAAATCTGACCGGTCTCCTGATCCAGATCTGCATGTTCATCTCGTATCTTGGTCGTATCACTGCTTATCTAAAAAGCATAAGTACTCATCTGAATGCAAACTGAGTATTCCCACCTCCAAACTTGAACACCAACTTCTGTCACCTCCAACACTAAGTCTGGAGACTTGAACTCCTACATTTCTTTGAAACCGGGTCTCATTTCCATTCCCACCACAAATTCCTTAATTCACATATAATCTTCCTGAACTAAGGGAGAGCCTTAAATGGCATCCTTGACTATAATCTACCTACCTGAGGTCAGAATTGCTGCATTCACTCGTTTTGTTGTATGTATTGTTTGTCCAATAATTATTTGGTGAATAAATGTCTCCAATCTCTTCTCCTACAGACCTTTCTATTCATTAACTGCTATGATCAATTTTCTAAAACACAAAACTATGTCACTTCCCCACCTATAAAAATCCAAACTCCTATTATGGCATACAAGATTTTCACAATTTTTTCCCATTCTACCTTGGTCCTAGTCTAATTTCCAAATTTTTTTTCTTTTTTTTTTTTTTGGTGAGACTGGAGTTTGAACTCAGGGCTTCACACTTACAAAACAGGTGCCCTACCATTTAAGCCACACCTCCAGTCCATTTTGGTCTCGTATTTTGGAGATGGAGTCTCGAGAAGTATTTGCCCAGGCTGGCCTGAAACCTCAATCCTCCCAGTCTCAGCCTCCCAAGCACCTAGGATTACAGGTGTGAGCCTCCGACACCCAGCTTGATTTCTTAGTTTTCTTTTACATTCATTTAGAAGGCTTACACTTTACCCTTCTCCTTAAACACACTCTACCCTTTCATTTTTAATAATCCAGAATAAACAGTAAGTCAGTCCAGCTTATTTTTATGAGCACCCTTATACTATTTAAAGCCATTAACTAAGCCTATTTTTGTGGACTTACTAATATGGTCAATGTAGACTAAAGGGATAGGTGGGGAAAGTTTCAACTACTGCTGAGTTCTTCCTTGCAGCAAATTATTAAAAATTTTCAATTATACACTTATGACCTACTATAGGCAAAATAAAATTACAATCCAATTTTCTTCACAACTGTTTTTTTCCTGTCTTTGATCTTTAATATCTCTTTTCCCCACTTGTTGTTTTTCTTCTTCTTTTCTCTGGTCACCTAAGTTTTCACTGTACTCTTGTTATCTACCCTTCACAGGATCATCAATATTCCTCTATCATTCTCATTTGTACAGCATTTAAAATTTACCAGTCATTTTCATATATACTTACTTGTTCCTTACAAATTCAATTTCTAGGATTCTAAAAATCAGCAAATATATATATATATATATATACACATACATACATAAAACATAATAGTATGTATGTGTATACATATTAAAGAATATAGTGAATGCTGCCCTTAGTACTTTCTTATATTTTATCAATTCTGATGAAACTATAGTTCAAAAAGATTCAATGACTCACCTAATAAAGCTATGATTCCCCCTGCCTGTAACTCCAACAATTCCTCTTCACTTGTTCATCTCTAAAGACACAGGTCAAGATTTCCTCTATTCTAAGAATAAGAAATAATGTTTCAATACTACCATAATGTTTTTCACCTCACCATTTTTTTTATTGTTTTATTATTCATATGTGCATACAAGGCTTGGGTCATTTCTCCCCCCTGCCCCTACCCCTTCCCTTACCACCCACTCTGCCCCCTTCCTCTCCCCCCCAACCCCCTCAGTACCCAACAGAAACTATTTTGCCCTTATCTCTAATTTTGTTGAAGAGAGAGTATAAGCAATAATAGGAAGGAACAAGGGTTTTTGCTAGTTGAGATAAGGATAGCTATACAGGGAGTTGACTCACATTAATTTCCTGTGCACACCTCACCATTTTGTAAGAATCCTGATCTGTGCTCCTGGTGACCTTTTCTACTAAACAACATTTTCCTTGTTAATTAATGTTACCTTTATTAATCAGCATTAATGTTCTAGCACTTTATAAAGGCAAAGGGAGAAATGTTTTATGGGTAGCCAGAATTGATTTATCAATCTCAAATGCACAGCAAAACATCCCTAGCTTTCCTAAAAAAAGAAGAATAGTTTGTTTTCTTGATTTTTGCTTTTTTTTGAGACAGGGTCTCACTATGTAGCCCAGTCTGGCCTTGAACTTTGGATACTCCTATGCCATATGCCATAATAACTAGACCAAAAAAAGAATTAAAAGAATGTCTCTAATTTCTCTCCAGGTATGCAGATTAACATCCTTGTAGAAATGACATCCAAAGCAGAACACAGCAGAGAGTTAAAAAAGTACTTTGTAATCCCTCAATTAAACAATCAGAAGTTTTAGGAGATAGCTCCCAATATCCTGGGAAATGTTCAGGATTAACACTCAAAAGTCTAGAGTGGTAGTCCCAAATCCACAATATATTGGATTTGTCTCTGATTAAACTACTCTTCTACGAAACTAGATAATTCCATCTGCCTTTCAGAACTGTTAAGAGAATTAAATGAAGGAATGGCTGTAAATAAATCACTTAGCCTAGAACATAACAAAGTTAAAAATGGTAATCCTTTTGAACATCTGTTTTTGTGTCAAACACTATTTTTGTATTTAGAACCATGCCCAACAGCCTCAACACATTCTTGGTCTTTCTGATCCAGAAGCAAACTACAATAAATGCCTTCAAGGAAGTCATCTACATAACTCTGGATCATCCCCTTCCTGGTCACAACTCAGGTCCTATAAATATAACTTGGAATATATTCTCCTAAATGCATTATCTTGTTCTCTGCCATATGAAAACTCATCAAAGGATGAGTTCCTGTAGCTTCTCTTTGTTGGCTTGGCTTTTAACTACCTGGAACAGCACAAGAAGTAAGCAACAAATCTGGCAACTTTCACTGACAGTCTATCTTTTAAATCATTTATAGAAATGTTAAATAAAACTGGTACTAGCACTCATCACCTGAAGGGTAATGGGGTTAGAATGCAGTCTCATGTTAATAGCCAAAGACTAAGTAAGTAATTAAACCAGCTCTCTTTTGGCTATAGGCATATTTTAAACTTTAAGAAAGTGCTTGGACCTCTCCACAGGGATTATATTTAATGTTTAGTGATCCAATCCTTTGATTTAGAATATACAGTGGTCCATCACTATCAGAGGGGGACTGATTCCAGGACCTCTTCCCACAAGATACTAGCATCTGCAGATGCTCAAGTCCTTTATTAAGAAATGACACAGTATTTGCATATAACTGATACATATTCTCCCATATACTTTAAGTCATCTCTATAATATCTAATACAATCTAACTGTTATATAAATAGTTGTTATGCTATATTGTTTAGGGAACAATGACAAGGAAAAAATGTCAGTTCATGTCAGTACAGCCATTATTTTTTTTTCTGATATTGAAGCCATAGATGAAGAACCTGTGGATAGCAAGGCATGGTGGTACATGTCTGTAATTCCAGCACTTGGAGGCTGAGGCCACTTGGAGCCCAGACAGGCTACAGAACAAGACCCTGTCTCAAAAAAACAGAGAGAGAGAGAAAGAAGAGAGAGAAACCTGTGGATAAGAAGAGCAAACTGTATGTGCATATGCACAGGACAAAATATGACTGGAGAAGGGCTAGATGATTGAAGTTTATATAGTATCCAGAGCTACAGAAAGAAACAGGGGCTTGAGATTTCTTATGGGGAGCATGGTGGCAACAAGCCATGGGAGAGTGGGGGCAGGAATGCAAGGCTAACAACAGGCTGTCTTGTTATGTACATACAATCTCAGGTAATATGAGCTGCCCTCAGTAGACTAGGTGATAGCCTGCTGGCAGTCTCTAAGTGAAGTATAGTCCTCTAACCTCTTTTGTGGTATGATCTTCCTTAGATCCTTCTTTAGGGAGCAGGTAAGGGGACCTCAGAAAAAGCCCCTAGTGTCCACTGTTTACTAAGTAGATTTCTTTTACAGGTGTAAATTTCTTTTACAAGAGGATAGCTCTTCAGAATTATTCCAGTGACTGCAGCTTCTCTGAATAGCTGTCTGGATATATGCCAAAGAAGCATATTTTGGGAGTAGCATATTTTGGTTTCCCACAGTGTTAAATGCCATATAATAACCTGTGAAAATATACTCTCAGTATATTTATTGTATTTCATAATAGTGTCATCATGGTCTCTCATATCATTCCTTAGAATTTCTCACTATAAGTGAGACAAGGTGGCAACTAGTTTTCACTTAAACTACTCAAATGCAATTATCTGAAGTCAGCATACAGTAGAGATATCCACACATCCATGTTTATAGCAGCACTATTCACAATAGCCAAATTATGGAATCAGCCTAGGCACCGATCAATCAATGAATGGATAAAGAAAATGTACTAAACACGATGGAGCATTACTCAGCCATAAAGAAGAATGAAATTATGTTAGCGGCAAGAAAATGTTAAGTGAAATAAGCTAGAGAAAAACAAATCCAGACTCTAGACTAATAATATTATTATTAATAATGATAATGAAAGGAAAAGAAATAAAAAGAATGACATGAGTGTAAAACAGGGACTGTTTGGGGAGGGGAACCAGTAGGAGGGGAAGAATGAAAGAAGAGGCTGATGGGTGATTTTAATTGAATTGCTTTACCTACATGTATGAAAACAGAATTAAATCTATTCAAAGTTGGTTTAAAAATGGGGGACACACATGACATAAGAAAAGAGTAATAGAGTGGGTGAATTCAATCAAAGTACATTATATGCATGTATGGAAATGTCACAACAAAACTCCTATATAATTAACATATGCTAATGAAAAATCATCACAAAAGTTTATAAACATTACAAAGTAGACTATTTATTGCTCAAGGAAAAAAAAAAAACTACCCAACATTAACATGAGTCAACAATTCAGTCTAATTACCCCTTGGCTAATGCAGATGAAGAATTTATTAAATTGGACAAGAGTAATACTTCATTTTTTCCCCCTTTCACTTTCTATCAACTACATTAAAGCTAAGAAAGTATTGTGCATGGTCAACTCAGACCATTCTCAATGCCATTTTACAAAGAAAACTCCAGCCTACTAAGAAAATGAGCAATGGCTGGTTATATTTTACTGTGACATATACATGTTATATTTTCTGATGTCTTCTAAAATCATATTTAACTAAATAATTTATTCATATAAATAGATTACATAGTAGACCTAAAGAAGGTTTCTGAATGTTTTGGTTTTACAAAATTCCCAAAAGCATATCATGAATTCAATAAATTATGATAATTTCATTATCTTTATAATAATCAAAAAATTAGGAGTTGTTCACTTTTCAAACACTAAAATGCTCTAGCAGTGAAAGAAAATATGATCTTATAAACTTCAATGGCTCTATATAACTCTCTTATGTCTGCCACCATTACCACGGATTAAAGAATTGACTCATACACTCAAAAAAGTCATAGAAAAGGTAAGTTCTTGGGTGACAGGTAAGTTATATTT